CCCTAAGCCTGAACCCTAAACCCTGAACCCTAAACAGCTGATTAAACTTAAAACCCTAAACTTGACCCTAAGCCGGAACCCCTAAACTCTAAATCCTCTACACACTTAACCATAAAACCCTAAGCTTTACCCTGAGCCGGAGCCCCTACACTAGACCCTAAACCCTAAACCCGAAGCCCTAAACCCTAGACCCGAAGCCCTAAACCCTAAACCCTCAACCCGAAGCCCTAAACCCTAGACCCTATACACCCTAAACCGTTGAACCCTGAACCTGTAAGGCGACCCACCACCCCCCGGGACTCCAGCAAGTGTACGGTTCAGGGTTTAGGGCTTAGGGTTTAGGGTTGAGGGTGTACGGTTCAGGGTTTTAGGGTTTAGGGTTCAGGGTTTATGGTGTACGATTCAGGGTTTTAGGGTTTAGGGTTTATTGTTGAGGGTTTAGGGTTTAGGGTTTAGGGTCAAGGGTTTAGGGTTTAGGGTCAAAGGTTTAGGGTTTACGGGCTTAGGGGTTTTAAGGGCTTAAACATGCACCCAACCAAGGCAAGAGTGACTCCTCCTTGACCGCGGTGGCGCTGTCGTCCTGGATGCAGGTCCACCTGTTGAACCATTTCGAGGAACAGCTGGCTGTATATTCATGTCTTCTTGGCATTCTTCTGGTTGGCTCATAGAACTTCAGCTTGTCTGGGTTTCTATATGAACTATAATAAGGAGACGAAAAGTTTAACTTTTTTGGAGGGGTTCAGAAGTCAGCCAAGTGTCCTGATTGCTGGTTTGGAAAGTCTGCTCGCTTGCATTCCCATGCCCGTCAGTTTCAGTCGTGCATGGTTTCTGGTGCTGGAAGATTCAATTTTTCTGGCCCCAACTCTCTTTTGCTTAGAGCTTGAAGCCTCAAAGGAGCCAGCGTGTGACAGGATTTTGTTTAAATTTAGCCTTGAGCTGGGCTGAAATCTCAAAGTGCCTGCCATAGCCCGACGAGGAAGCTTTGAATCCCATACAGGGAACCGGTCACCTTCCTTCACACGCGAAAGCCTAAAATTCCTACAGCAGGTTTTGGAATCTGGAACTCATATCCAAACCCCGCACACCGTGAACTCCCAAAACCTTACACTTCTCGAGCCCTGAACCTGAAGCTTTACATTTTGAACCCGAGAGCGTTGAAACCCGCACTGTAACACCACAAAATCCCTAGCAAGCCTCACAAGTTTCCCCCCCAAACCCCCCAACCCTAAATCTCTACCGCAGATTAAACCCTAAACCCTAAACCCTAAACCCTAAACCCTAAACCATAAACCCTTAGGAAGGGCCCTGAGGGGCCGTAAACCTTTCGGACACCGAGACTCCAAGACCCTCAATCCCTCATGCGAACCCTTGCTGGAAACCTAAAAGAAGGACCCTTTTAGGGTTTTTTGGGGTTTGGGGGTTTAGGGTTCCACCACAAGACCTTGTCTTGTTTTTCTTGGAGTCGCTGAGTCCCCTAGAACGGGGGAGGGTTTCGGGATCGCTAAACTCAAGGTTTAGGGCCCTAAACCCTATCCCTAAACCCTAAACCCTAAACCCCCTAAACGGTTTAGGGGTTAGGGTTTAGGAGATTTAGGGATCCCTAAACTCAGAAAGTAAACCTTCAACCCCCTAATATAGGGCCCCAATTTTTACCTGTACTATGTTGGGGGTTCCTTATTATGATTATAGTATGATAATATACCCCAAACCCTATTCTAATTATTAAAGCCGCTACATTATGCCCAACCGCTAGACCCTAAACCCTCAACCCTAAACCCTAAACCCTGTTGGAGTCTCTGGGTGTGCCCCAGGCCGTCCGGCAGACCTCTTCCGAAGCGATGACCACTGCAGCGTCTGGGATGAAACGATTCGGTTTAGGGTTTAGGGTTTAGGGTTTAGGGTTTAGGGTTTAAGGTTTAGGGTTTAGGGTTTAGGGTTTAGGGTTTAGGGTTTAGAGGAGTCTCACACTCCAGAAAATTTTCGTAATTCTCTGAAGAAGAGTAGGTAATCTTTAACCTTTCTGCAGTGTTATACCCCCTATGTAGCTTTAGCCTTTTCCAGCGGTTAACCTTTGGTTCCTTTGAGGATATTGGGCACGGAAGGTTTAGGGTCTTTAGGTTCTTGTTGTGGTTCAGCTGAGGGCTTGTCGGAGCTTTAGTTTTACTTTTGTTCTTTGCCGGGTTTCGAGGGGTTAGGGTTTATATTGGGGGCTTAGGGTTTAGGGTTTAGGGTTCAGGGCATAGCCGAGGTTTTTAATCAGTAGCCGAAGCGTCAAAAGCAGTTCCGAGGTGAGCGCGCTCGCGGAGGCACAGGACGACGTGTGCCGAGCCTTTCCCGCAGCTTCTGGATCTAGTGCTTCAGGTTTGGAATGTTCGCTTGTTATGACTCTTGATATTCTTACCATCACGTTATTTTTGGATTGGTGTTATTCTTTCAGTATATATCATATGGGCACATTTTCATTACCATTATGAATGTGTAGGAAGGGTTGCATGCGGGGTGAAGCTGGACAACACTGCATCTTACCAGCTTTGCATTGTATCACCACGAGCCTAGCTTCCTCAAGCTTATCCTCAACACCAGCCCTGTACTAACGCCCCCAACCGCACTCAACAGTAAACTCGACATGGCGTGTTCGGCTCTGGGCCACCCAAAACCCAAGTCACGAACCCTCAAACGCAGGGGTCAGCAGGGCTGAAAACAGAGGTGTGGAATAGTACTATAGGGGCCTAAATAAGTACCTATACTATTTTGGGCGTTCCTTATTATGATTATAGTAGAGTGGGCCCCAAAACCCCTATTCTAATTATTGAGGCCCCTACATCATCCTCTACGAGTCTCTGTATACAAACACTACAGCGTGCCCGCAGATTCTCAAGCAACACACGTAGGTGTATATTGCGGGTACCTTGTTCAGGGGGCCTGAGCATCACAAGAACTCTACTGGTTTTCGGCGCCTACATAGTCGTGTTCTGGATTCCCAACATCCCCTGAAAGCAAGAAGCAAGCTCGAACTATATCCCTAAAACCCTAACCCCTAAACCCTAATCCCTAAACCCTAAACCCTAAACCCTATATCCCTAAAACCCGACAGTTTACGCCACTAAACCCAAACTCCCGAACCTGAAGACCTCCACAGCCCAAGACTCCCTGTAAAGCCGGTTTTGAAACCATCCCTAT